ACTCAGTATTGCAAAATCATGTTTGTGTTTGATATAGGTTGTTTTGTTTGGATATCTCGTAACTTTACGACGGATACATATACATAGTGATAAATTAATACATTATTGTTGTTTGAAAAGTATGAAGATTGTGCATTCAGTTTTGAATATGGCCAGTTTTTCTGTCTTTTGTATTAATAGTTTGAACGTGTTTTTTTTTAAATTCTTCGAAAATCTTTCACCCAACAGTGAATTCAATCCTGGTGTTTTCTTCATTTTGATCTGTCGTATGGGGAATTTGGTGTTGGAATGCTGAACAGCAAAGGTGAAAGGTCATCGACGTTGTTATGTTCGCTTTCTCTTGATGAACAGCCACTCAAAGAACCTGTTTTTCATTTGGATGGCAAACTTAATTCATCACTAAATCAACTATTTCGATGTCTCTGCCCGATCTTTGAATCAGTTCTGTTTGCATGGTCGTATGTAACAAGATGAAAGATTTTAAATTCAGCGAATCAGATGAGATAAACTTCGGCATTTCTCCTGGATTCGTGCTAATTGCATAAACGGTAGAGTTATAAAAGTCTTGGACATGTTAATGGTCAGAATATTCTATGCTCTTCTGTCAGGTACTTATTTGGAGATTGATGATGTAAAAATGTTTTGCTTGATTGGTCTAAATGTTTTGAAAGCTAACAAGAATCATTCGTTTACTAATAATTGCTCTTGGAACCTAGAATTTTCTAGAATTTGTAATTAAAAATAATGGAAGTGGAATTGCTTCCGAAAAACGAAGAAATAAAGACAGTTTGTAACTGTTTGTAGCCATCTTTCCCTACACCATTTCTGGTGCCCTTCTTTACATGAAATTAATTTTTGGGCGTTTCCTATCTTCATTTCCATGCTGTAAAGCAGGAGTGCCTTATTTTAAAGACCAAGTAGACAGCAGTTGTGTATCAGGCAGGATAGTGTGTAGTCATCTGTTTCCATTCTACAGAATGTTGCCCATTTATCAATCTCGTCCAGGGCTCGAACTCGGAACTTCTGAGTTTTAAGTTGTATAAGAGTCATCTAAAATTCAAATTAACAAGCTGTATTCTAAAAGCGGATGAAAGAAGATGCTACCGATCAACTACTCCCCCTGGAATTTTGTTTAATTTATTTAAATGATTGTTGTACTCAACGTGTACTGCAGTAGTCATTTTTTTAAATTTGGAGGCCCTGACACGTGCAGTGTTATCAGTTAGAAGGGCATATGTGACAGTGCAGAATGAGCTTTTTCGCATCTCACAACTTAAACCTTCTAATTAAACTTATCCTTTATTGGGGTAAATAAGGCGTACTAAAATATGTACTCATATACACATGTACCTATTTACTCGATACTGAGGTTCACACCTCCACTTCAGCGACATCGTTGTCATGAAAGGAGTTAGATGTCCAAAATTTCATCGAGAGACTCTTCTTGTTATATTTTGTATTCGATCTTGTCTTCCAATATGCTACTTGAAAAATAATTTTTACGCCTGAAATTCCTATGGGCCATTATAACTCCGCCAGAACGCGTTTATTAAGTCGCTTTATAACTGTTAATCTAGATAACTCACAGCTCAACGAATTAATTAGTTCTTTATATATTCATAACTTAGTTACGGTTTTTGTGAGCTGTCTCCATAAACACAACAGCTTCATCGTATTTTCTACCTTAGATGCCTTTACTTACTTTGAGTGACGGCTGCCGGGTTCGATTCCTTGAAAAACAAAAATTTTCCTAACGTCAGTCCGTTTGACTAAGAAATTCATTCAACGTTTCTTCGTACAGCCAGCAAAACGTTGATTTGTCTACTACTGGAAGAGCAGGTTATTCTGATGTGATTATACCGTTTCCTTCCTGATAGCTGATCATTCAGTTTTATAATAAGTACAGCGTGTAAAGCCTCCAGAGAAATACGTAATTAATTACACTTTTCTGAGGTAGTACAGTTCGCATGCTTTACTTCTTTCCTCCATCACCCACACATCCGTTCACATATTTTGCTACGGTGTTGTAAAAATTGTTCATTCACTTTCTTGCCTAGCTATTTTTGCTTCTTGTTGTTGCGGTAGCAGGTCCGCGACTCTTTTCTAGTGATTCCTATCCTCTAAAAGTTAGTGGAAGATTTCAAGTATGCATTAATCTTCTAAGTGTCGCTGTGCCTCTGATGTTACGTTATTAAAACTTTCCTTAATCGTCATAGTGTTCTGTCGATTTACATAAGACGCGGTTCACAAATGAGATTATCATGAATTTATTTGCTCCTTTCTCATATCGCAAATCTTTCGAATGAGCCTCGTTAAAAATCGGTTAAATTCATTAAAGAGCGTTTTTGTCAGGTTAATGATATAGAGTTGTAGTGGTTACTAGCTTCTCCCCATTTAAATCTGCGTGTTACAGCTGATCGTTTCTTTCAACTTATGCGAGGTCTTGGCGAATGAATCCTGGAAAGAGTCGTTTTGTTATTCCAGTTCCTAAACACGTTGTAATATCTCTATTCATTAATCATGAATTTTCTCCGTACGTTTCAATCTGATATATTTGTATTGAATTACTCATTTTGTGGACCTGTACTTGGCAGATGATTATCTAAAGATCCCCGAATAAACTCCCTGAACTGTCGATAAGATCCTCATCTTCCGTTCAAGGAAACGACGCAATGCTGAAGATTCCATCATCTTTCTTTGAACATTAATTAATGCAAATGGCAGTGGTTCTGAATCACGACTAAGAAGAAGATACACAATCGAACATGCATCGCCTTGACATGTAACGCGTTTGACCCGTTACCTAAGGTTTTGCATGCTCTCCACGAATCACATTGAGGTTGAATTTGTGGACAGGAATGTTTAGCGAATTACTAAACTATGATTATGCTAATCTGCATCTTTCACGTGGCACCGAATGACTCCTCGAAAACAAGATTTCATGATATATTGCACCACAACCTTGCTCGGGGTTGTTTAGACAGGCGAAGGCTACATGGTGTGAATATGCCTTGAAATCTTGTTTTAGAGAAGTCATTCACTATTTAATATGCTGGAGCGTATAAACAGCTTAATATATTTCACGTGATGATTTACGTAACTTTGCTGTTTTTTAATTTTCATGATCTGTAAATAAATACTAAAGTAAATGTACGAGTTGGAACAACGAAGTCACAATTACATGGGTTGTACCATAGTCATTCGAAGCAGCTTCCGCCAAACTGTTTTTAGCCACGTTAAGGCTCTTTCTCTTCACTTTTGCGACCTAAGTTGCTCATAACGTTCTTCAGTGGGTTCACGGTAGAAATTTATGTAAGTCTTTTGAAGACCCTTACTTTTATTTTGCTTTTAGTTCGTCATGCGAACTGTTGGAACGATGTTTTCCAGATATGGTACTTTCGATCTGACGCTGTGGAAATCGATGAAGAATATCTCAGAGATTGCTTTATTTTCGGATTACCGACCATAAGCAGGATTTGCCACAACTGTTAGGTATGCTTATTAAAAATTTTTCATGATGACATGATGATTGTTGTTCCTGACCCAGACTCATATTCAATCGGTTAAACAGTAAGCGAGTGTTTTTCTTCCGAGGCGCTGGTTCTTGGCCAATAGGACTCTTGATTTAAAAAGTAATGCAAAATAATAGCATTGTTAAGTACTGAATAATGTCATATTTAAAAAAAATGCAAAAGTGCAGGCAATCAGAAATTGACTCAAACTGATTATGAAATCTCAAGGGACTGAGAGAGAAGAAAACCTTTGGGTCACATGAAACAGACAAGGCGTTCTCAAGTAGAAATTGTCCTCATTAAAATATTTGGATTACACAGTCAAACATGATATATCTGCAGCCTCGTTGTATTTACAACAAAAAACGAAAAGGTGAAAGTGTTGTCAACTGGAAGATTTTTGCAGTGGTAGTCAGCTGAAAGTATTAGATTATTTCATTTCTGAGATTCACCTTTGCACACCTCCTTGATTGACGCTGATTGAAAACATACGTCGCTTATTATTAGTGAGGAGCATACGTTAATGGCAAAAATATCGATTTCGGTCCAAGATGCAAAAATTACGTCCAGTACGTTTCCATGGAGGTTTCCTAAGGGCACTTATGTGGAACAATACAGACCGCGATATTTTATTGTTTGGCTATGGATTAATACTTGTACTGCTGTATTGCTGCTGTGTCAAACACTTTCCCTCCTGAAACTCAAGGGTGTTTTTTATGACTACTCAAGACCAATTTCTGCATAGGAACAGTCAGTTATACGGAACATATCTTCTAAATGCCAAAACAAATGAAGACTGTTGTATATCATCTGTGTCAATTCTACATCTTTCTTTTCAGTGTATAGTACTTTAATATCAGTCAGTCAGTTTTGATGACAGTTTAGACTTTTCGATGTCAGAGGCAAACGCATCAGACAGTATCTCTAACGTTTCTAATTCTGTGCCAACGTTTCAGTTTCGGAAGATGATAAACCGAGTCTGGAGGATAGACAATTGCTTCTGGAAGAGTCTTAGAGACAATTGCTCAACGTCATTATTGGCCATCCCCGGAGTCTTCAGACTGTCGGTTTAGCAGATAACAATGGGCGCCTTTTGTCGTAACTCTGTGGTCGAGATATTTAATCAGCAGCTGGTGGGAGATTGCGGCTGGCTATCCAAAGAATCCTCCATCCTCACAGTGTCATCCAACGGTGGTGTGAGTGAAAACTGGTGCTTCGTATGTTCAGATTAACTAATGACGACTAATCATTATGTCGATCACAGCCATTTAGATATGTTAATTTTTGCCTTCCGTTGCGTTCTTAAAAACTGCAGAAAAAAATTAACAATGGACAAAGAAACTGACCATTAGCACTGTTTCATCACCAGTACCACCGACTTAATTTGCATATTTTCTTATGGTATCACTTGGATTATCTTGAATGATACTTGTTCTGTTGTTAATTCTGTTACAGATTCGCATTTTAGTACGACAGTGCACTTGTTCGATGTTGATACCGTTGGCAGCGGAGAATGACGATGACGTAGACGAGAGGCTATCGTGGGAAGATTCCGAACGATTCGAGGAGGACTCGCTTGGCTCATGGCTATCTGAACCAGAGTCGCTCTGTCAGAATTGGCGAGGGTGGTCTCGGCCAGCGGCTACCAGCGTCGCTTCAGATAATGTCGACTTGTCTGGTGAGAACCTGAATTATACCGGAGGTTTTTCAACGCTGAAAAAGAACGCGGCTGAGGGCAAAGGTATTGTTTGCTTGTATGTACATATTTGTGTTTATTGTTTGTGTGTTTGTCAACAGTACCCACATTCAATCACCTCACTCCTCGTCATTACTTCAGGCACTGTGCTGTCTCTGGTGGAGTCGGCGGCGAGCGTCGTGGCGCGCTTCATTCCATTCGAGGTGGTCGAGCGATTCTATCCACCCGTCCCTGAACAGCTACAACTACGAGTTGCCTTCTGGAGCTTTCCCGCCAGTGAGAAAGACATCCGATTATACTCATGCTTAGCCAACGGCAATGCTGACGAATTCGTCAAGGGTGAAGACTTGTATCGTAATAAAGCCGTTCAGAATATTCTTCAGATCGGTAAGCAAATTGTATGTTAAATTATTGGCATTTAGTTTTTGCCTTTTACTGCAAATGTGGTCAGGAACGTGTTGTGTACCTGAATTTTTCTACGTTATTTTAGAGAGAAGATAATCCCCTACAAAACAAAATTTTCTTAAGATATCAAGAAATCGCTGTAAACTTTAGGTTGCCACTGTTTCAGGATTCACGACAAATTAGGATGGATTTAGCGTTCATTCTTTGTCGTTCCACTGCTTATTTTGGTCACTGTCCACTCCTTGCTCTTCAGACCACAAAGATTTCCTGTGTAGATTCGGGAGCACCATCGAAATCTGTTTTTGAAATTCGATGTAGAAAATTACAAATTTATGTAATTTATATTTGGTGTTGCTGTAATTGTTTGTATGATTTACGTTTTTTAAGGATTTCACTTAAGCGCCACGGTCAATTGCTCATCGTTTACTGCTCAGCCGATAGAATCGACTCCTCTTCCGGAGCCGCTTCCCACCGTGACAAATGCTGGACCAGGCTCTGCGTCAGAATTATTTAACGTTGCCGTAACGATCGATCGTCGT